AGTGTGATAGTAATAGAGAAGATAGTTCAGTTTGTCAACTGCAATTCTAGAGTGGTTGAATAGGCCTAAGTGGACTTTTGACAAAAAGAAGAGAACTACATATATAATGTTTATGATATGCCTATAATATCTATAGTGTGAAGATATTGTTGTACATACGTTTAACATGTTTCGAATATATATATATAATTTTGAAAACAAGTGAAGTGCATGCTGTTTGTTTATTTATGAATTTATTGCTAACAAGTCACAGACACCAACTGTAGAGGAATCCTAAGCTCAACAATGACAAAGTATATATTTATACTATTAAGAAGTATAAGTAAAAGCCTTTTAATTTGACAATTGGCAAAAAAGAATATATCTATTTTAAAATTCTGACAAAGTTGCACCTTAGAAATTGTTTCCTTTGATGAATAATGTGATAAGAAAGATTTAAGTTCCTTAGTTATTTCTGATGCAATCCCTGATGCTTAAGTTATTCCTACTTTCCTTTATCAATGATATTAAAAGTAACTCTACTGAACTAATCACAACTGAGTAGAGTGGAAATTGCCTAGAGTACTTTTAGAGATTTGTTTTTAACGTTGTTCTGGTGTAAATAATCGTTAAACAGGAAGGCATAATACTTTAAGGGTAGATGTATTTAACACACACATACCTTTTTATGAAGTCTTTTTTTGACAATTATCAGAAACTGGTGTGTTACAGAAATGGGAGTTACTGTTTGTAGCTATTGGATTGTTTTGTTAAAGGTGTCAGTTTTGAGACTTCATTGGTTCTAAAGATAAGGTTGGAGTTGGAATAATATTATAAAAATCACGAATAATATCTGGATTTTTGTGATAGCTGAGTATAGATGAAGTAACATTGATGTTATAATCACTAGTTCTTTTTGGACTTATTTAAAATAGACATCTTCAGATCAGTCTGAAAGATATTAGTTCTGAATTTAAATCTTGTAAAGCAGTGACAACAGCAGTCATAGATCTACAGTTATTTTACTTTGAAACCAAACTGTCAGCATGTATGGTTGATTTTTCCTTCTCTGTTTGTTTGCTGTTCTTAAATGGTTGTGCAATTTATGGGAATAGTAAAAAAAATATTATTTTCCACTTAGTGGGTTATAAAAAAAATAAAGTGCACAATTAACAATTTTGAGATGGGTCAGGAGTGAAAGGCCATGTCATCTCTTTTGTTGACTCGCATTCAAAATTTTATTGAACTAATATTTCATGAATTTATGTCAATAATTTTGGTATCAAACTAGATTATAATTATAATTTTAGCATTATACATTTCTCAATTTAAAAGTAAATATGAAAATAATGCAGTTAAACATCGTTTTTGTGTGTCATGTGGTATGTTGAATGCAGCACTAATTCAAATTATATGTTTGTGAAGTCAAAATACTAAGTCTATAGTTTCATATGAATTAGTAACTCAAATTACCCATGTTGACAAGCTAGAATATAAAATAAGAAGGTCTTATCTTTTGTCTTTTCTAAGATATAACTCACAGTGGCACCCCACTCACCTCTTTCTATTTTTGGAAATGCTCCCTTATATACCCTTACTTCTATATATGACATGAATAACCAAATGGAAGCTCAGAATGTCCCCCTAGTGGCTTTCTCAGCCATTTTAAATTCTTAGGAAGCCATTTCTTTCTTTTGAACCAAGATTTAAAGGAGGTAGGGTGTGTCTTTAGTTTGCTTGAAATTTCATATTTTTTAGACTGAAATACATCTTAGTTACTAAGCTTGATAAATTATAGTGGAATTCTATGGTATTGATGTAGTAATTTGTGATTTTTTAGTTATTCAAATGTATATATATAGAACCTAAAAAAATTGTTTTGTTTCATATCTTCCACATGCAAAATTTTTAAAGGCTTAGCAACCTATGTCAAACAGCAACCAAGTACAAAGGTCATTACTAGAAGAGATAATTGTTTGCTTCTTTATTTACTGTTCTATGTTTTAAGAAAAATAAGTTTAAGAAATTATTTCAAAATAGCAATAATCTATATACATATATGATGTATAATAATTGAAATGTGACTGTATTTTACAAAATACTAGTCTACTAAAACACAGCTGAGACAAGTTACTTAGTACAGACCAAAGGTCAGTTTATGTTATTTGATATAGTAACATGAGTGCACGTGAGCCACGTTATTGTACCTTCTCTATTGTTAGCCAGGCACAGCTGAAAGGTCAACATAATAAAAATAATAAATATACATAAATGTTATGAGATTTAAGTTATTTAATCTAAACATTTATGTTTTTTGTGTTATAATTTGTGTTCATTCTAGAATGAAAGAGGAATAATTTACATTTATTTCCTTATTTTTTATGGTGGTTGCAAGATTGGTCAAATCTACCGATTCCATATAGAGATTAATTACTGAAAATAACAGATAAAATATAAAGTTTTTTCTTAAGAGATGATTGATAACTATCTGGACATTATAAAAATTTTGCATGTGAAATTTGAAATTTTTCTGATGCATAAAAGTATTTTTAATCTTAAAATGAAAATTACTTTGCATGACAGATAGGCAACATATGGAAAGAAAAAAAAAGGCATGAGAAAAACATTGCTTTGCAAACCTTAAGACTTAATAATAATAAAAAAAATTCATATTTTGTGTATGAAAGCATTGTAATGTTTACTGATAATCTACAACATCTTATTGACATTCGCTTACTAATTTAAAAGTTATAGCATGAAAACTATAACAAGCACGAAATGGTTACGAGGTCGGTCCAAATAACTGAGGCCATGCTGAAAGAGTTAAGACATGGGTTACTAGATAGAGTTCGTAATATACCACATAAAGAACTAAATTCAAATAGTAGATCAACTTAAGGAAACAGTGACAGGAAAACAGATCACAAGATGTGTGTGTTTGTGACAATTGCTTGAACATATGCAAGAAGTAGATTCTTCATTTCCTACTTTATTCCTCTGGCTTATCCTTTGTTGTAGAATAGCAAAGACTCAAGCAAGTTGCTCTGTCATGTTAGAATTGATAGTTGCTTTGTTATATGGAAGTATGCTCACTTAGTACTTAAGGAATGTTTGTCTTTTGATCCTCTCTAAAAATTATTGAAAAAAACACCATAACCAACTTTTTAGTTCTTGGTTATGGTCTTTTTCGTGAAATGTACCACTTAGTGTCTGGTTTAGTGCTTCAGGGGTGTGTTCATATATAGGTATATCTGTGTGTGTTGCTTATTGTGATCATTAGGGTGAGCCAGAATAAAGACCACCCCATGAAACTTTGTTTTTTTTCCTGCATTGTTTGGTATTATTGCTTTATTTTTCTGCTGTCTTCCTGTTTTAATGGTTTTTTTCCTGAATTGTAATAATTGATAATATATGATTTTTTTGAGTCACTCATTATTGTGCAAGAGTGCATTGTCAGAAGTAGTGTTTTCTTTACTATCTGGTTACACTTTCTGTTCAAAAAAGAAAGGGTGAGTGTGGGTGGGGGGTTAGTGTTGTTTTAAAACTAAGATGAAATAAAAGTTATTTAATTTAAAATTTTGTTACTTGGTCCATTCTGTTGATTAGTAAACAGAGTTATTGTTCTTTTCACTGGACAATCATAACACCTACATAGTTCCTACTGAACTTGACTCAGAAGCCCCTTTTTGGTTATCTTCTTATAGTGGTGTATCAGTTGAGGGCTGTGATCATTAATTCAGATTATGAAAGGTGGTTTAACTAACTCGGCAATTTCCTCCCATATCCCTAGTCCCCCTCACTTTGACAGACATCTTCTGGATTGATATGTGAACCATATCGGTTTGTTTTACTGTTATCATTGATTTTCTTACCGGTTGTAACCATTCCAAAACTTCACTCTGAAATATCATTCAACATTGTTTTGTTGTTTTTTTTCATCTGACTTTCTTTTGTGGTCTGATATACTCTTAATGTATCATATAATTCAGGTGACCTAGGGCTTTTGTAGTCCCATTGGCACTTTCAACACTTGTCTATTCTGGCCTATGGATATAATGTGAAAGATTCAAGGCATGTTGTAAACATACTTTCAGTTAAGTACATGTGTTCACATGTCAGCTGTCCCAACATTTCTGTAATTTTTTATGACTGGGTGTGATATTTTTTCTTTATTTATTGTAGGTATAATTTGGTTATATTTTATATTTAATTGGACTGAGGCTAAAAGAAGTTATCCTTACTTCAACTGTTAGACAAAACTTGGATCTAAGTTTAACTGGTATAATCTGGACATGTCATTATTTTTGGTTTATGGTTAGTTAACTCAAATTGTGTAACAGAATCACTTATTAAAAGAAGGGTGTTGATCAAAGATGGTGAGATTGTTGTTTTTTTGTTGTTGTTGTGAAATGTTTTCATGAATCACATTTTAATTTTCCTATGCATACAAGTAAGAAAAGTAACCACAGTATCTCTTTCGTATAACATCTTCAATATATCAATCAGATGTAATACTTTTAATAGAAGAAACATTTGATCTGTTTTGAGCTACGAATACACTTCAACTGACTAACACTTATTCTAATGTTTCTAGTATTGCTTAATTTTATTTTGTCGTTCCAATGAATTTTCCTTGTTAGTCAATAAATTCTATGCGAATTACAAGTTTTCATTTTTCTTTCTCTCCTGAAATTACTTTTGAACTTTGCAGAAGATGAAATGAGATGATTCTAAAATGTTCAATGAATGTACATTTTACAGTTTCCTTAATTTTTATTGTTCGTTACTGAATTAAGCTAATTTCTGTACTTCACTATAATTTTCCATCCATGAAATAATTATTGTATTTTACTTAAAAATGATATGTTAAAAATGGATAAGAAAATATTTATCGATATGTAGGAATGTCCTCCAGAGATAAGACACTTAAGGATTTTGGTGACTAACTTTGTTTACATGTGGTCACCTGTATTTTCAGGGTTTATGGATATTGTTATATTATTTTATTTTTTCCTCATTAGTATCAAATTGCTACTGTCACAAAGGATGGAGTAACAATTGAAGGCCCATTGGTTTTGGACACCAGCTGGGATATAGCAGATGTTATAAGGTAATAACTTGTTTATCACTTGAGAGTTAGCAGGTGTTTACTGGTATGCCTAGTATGTTTGATATCAGTCCAGCATTAGTAGATAAAAACTTAATTTAAGTTTAAGGTGGTAGTTGCTTTGTTATAGCAGATGTAAAAACATTTGCAGTTATAGAAGAATTATAGATCTATAACACTAAGAAACACAAGTGTATTTTCAGAAAAAAATTGAAAATACAGTGGCTCTGTTAATTAATATATTTCTAAGCCATAGTGTCTATTAGACTGCAGATAATGACCATTTGAGTTGAATAGCAGTTAATTTTATTACTTTGTATCTATTTGGATAAAATAAATGGAATTTATCTAAGTAAAATCTGTCGTGTAACAAGCTAACTTTTGGGAGGTAGTATTTTGTTTTTAACCCTTAAACTGCTGATCAAATATTTCTAGCCACCACTATCATGTGTGCCAAAAATATAAAAGTTAAAATTGTTTTAATTTACCTTACAGAAATATAAGTATATATGAAAACAGACAAACACTGTAAGTGGGCTACTTTCACTTTGGCATGCTCATAAAGTCTTGCCTTGGGTTGCCCAGAACTTCATCTTCTGTACCTGGATCATGGATATTACATATCATAGTGGGGTGTGTATTGCTTGTCTACACTTTTATAATGTTCTAGGATACATTGGGACACTATAATTTACACTATACTTAGTTTTTTGCACCTTATGAGCATTTACATGAAAGCACAGCCCAAAAGATACACACTTTAACGGAATAAGTTTTACTTACAAACTTATATTTTTATCTTCAACTTACAGTTTATTATACACTATTTACACTTTCATCACTTCAGTGTGTGATGTTTTCAATATTTTTTTAGCGTATGTTAATCCCTAAAACAGTCTCCAACACACAGTGGCACTTCACATTCCTTGCACATGTGTGTAGTGAGCTTTCTCTTCTGCTAGTAGAGGACAGTGTGCATGCAGACCTAATACTAACATTGTACACTTTTCCTGAATGCAATAGCTAGCAACTGTACTACATAGTGATGACTGATCATGTTCATAACACAAAACCTGTTTGTCAAGTCTACATGGGAGCTTCTACAACCACTGTGAGTAGCCACAGGAGTCCCATATAGTGCCAGGAGCCGGTACACCATGTTGTGACTAAATTCACAAAGACATATTTTTACTTATTTTCACTAGGTACAAGGTATAGGCATTGAGTATGGAGGCATCCACTAAATAAAAAAAAGAGTTTCTTGTACCATTTGATGCACTTTTGTACACATTCCACTGATGCTACTATCACGTCTGACTTGTCCACCAGCTGCATGTTATATGTATAATCAAACACCACATCTGGCTGCATAATTTTCTCATTACTGCTGAAGTGAACTTTTCCACTGTCTACCATTTTTCCTTTGTACGCTATCATCAACATACTCTTATCGTGCCATTTTATTGCCAGCACTGTGTCTGTCTTCCACAGTTGGCAACTTACAGGCTGAATACATGCAGGGAAGTCTGGCATAAATGTTTGCTTTGCCTGCACTGTACCACAAACACCATTGTTATTGTCAAAGAGATATTGGCAGAGAGAAGGTGATGTGTACCAATTGTCTAGGTACAAAATATGACCTTGCCCCCAAAACCTGTTCATCATTGTCTTGACCACAACACCCAACAGTCCAAATAGGTCTTTCTGTGGAATGTTTGTGGCCTTACTCATGTAAAAAATCATGTCAAGAATCATCTCTGTTTTACAGTCATAAAGCATGAATAACTTTAGGTCAAAATGGTGTCATTTACTGGGAATGTATTGCTTGATACTGACACAGCCTTTGAATAAAACAAGATTCGTCTGTGACAACTTCTGAAAAAGCATGAAGGTTTTGGTGCACTTGTTCTTGATGTATATGAAAACGTATTTCTTGTTTTACACAGTCAGTCACTAACATCAATGGTCTCATTCACTGCCATGTGCAGAAAGCAAAGAAGTATATATCATGTGCCAGATATTTATTAAATACTTCTGTGTTTATCAGAGCACCTGTTTTCCAATAATCTTTGATGTGCTTTTTCAGCATGTGACGTAAGCATAATGAAAGTCAAGAGGGTATAAAAGTCACTTATAACAGTGTCTCTCCACGTCTGCATTCTAGAAAAAGGTGGTATAGCTTCAATGTCTTTACAAAATTGATAGTATTTGTTTGTTTCACTTATAATATGGTTCACAAGAGTTCTGTCAAAGAATAGTTGGAAGTAGTTTATCTCGTAGTACTCTTCAGTTATTTGTACATTGTTGTGTAGAACAAAAGGGTTATTGGACACATAATTACTGCCCTTACACCAGACAAAGCGTTGTCCTTACTGAGGAGTTGCTGGGTCATCTCTCTTGGGACAGCTTATGGCAACACCAGAGAGCCCAGCATGCACCCCAGCCAAACTCTCCCTGCTCTTACTCAATAACTCCATATCCATTAAATGCACATCACTCTCTACTACCTCCTCCTGTACAATGAATTCTGGGCCAGAATCATCTAAAGAGTTTCTCCATCATAATACTTATCTAACATCTTAGTAATTTTGGTCGGTGTTAAGGAGGGGGCGAGTTTACACTTCAAACCAGTTCGAGAAGTCAAAGGATGTGGTTCTACCATGGTTATTAGCTTGGAACTAAGGATTCTATGGTTACTTGGTACTTACAAACAAATGCACACACTATCCCTGTAGTGACAAGGCGGTAAAGCATATATCATAAATTGACAATATCAGCAGTTTGTAGTAAATCCTCATTTGACGATAATGGCAGTCTAAGGGTTAAAAATGTGATTTTTTTTATTATTGATGTTTATTAAGAGTATGTGTTTATTAGAATTTTGATTTTATAAGCTTTGAAATGTAATTATTTTTTTCAATTCTAGTAGCTTTAAAACAGCCAACATATAATTTGTTTTGTCAGAGCTTACATAAGTATAAAATAGCCTACCACCATGAGGTTAGTAAAGACAAGATAAGAGACATATATAAAATCAAGTGTCGATTCACGAGATTAGTTGTACATAATGGAAAATATTTATTTATTAAAAAGAACATATGAATTTGCTGATTAAAATGTAACCTGTGTTGAGGTTAACCTAATACTAGTTTTATATGTAAAGAATTAGATCGATATCATATGCTGTTTTTTCATTTAATTATATTTATCTGTAATGTTTCAGAAGTCATGTATTTTTTTTAATGAAGATGTATAACCATTATATTACAGAGGCTACGAGTGAACTGAAGAACAAGATGGACTTCTTATTCAATAAAAGAATTGAGGACTTGTATAATCACATGACTTATAGCATGTATAAGTTAAAATGGGAATAAATTTTCAGACAAAATCTAAAATAAGCTTCTGTGACATTCTTAAATTAGTTATTTGTATTATGGTTAAAAAAAGATTATTTTTAAAACAATTATGGTTTAGCTACATAAAATGCTAACACCACTTGCTTTACACATCTGGTACACATCATGAGGCTGCAGTGTGTACTGAGTATTAATACATGACATCAGAACAAGAGTGTGTTAGTAATTTCATGTAGAAAAATTCTTATATATAAATATTTTAGTACAAATATGTAGTTTCACAGAGAAATTCAACTTATGCATAAGCTTTATCCAAGTGACATATAAGTATGGTATCATCTTGTTAATGGTAATCTGTATGAAATTTCTAATCAACAAGAGACTCAATACTATTTTCAAAATAGAGACATATTATGTCAACTCTGAAAACTTCAAAAACAAGCTCACAAAAGTTGTTCCATATTTTCACCAAAAAAAAAATTGTAGATGCTTCAATAACTTTCTTGAAACTGGTAACACCTCCCTGTTTTCCAAACCTCTTGGTTTTGTTTGTTTGTTAGTTTCGGAGGAAAGCCACATTGAGCTATATGCTATGTCCACTGTGGGGAAACGAACCCCAGATTATGCATTATAAGTTCATAGACTTACTGCTGTCCCATAGGAGGACTCAAACCTTTTGGTAATACCTCCCTGTTTTCCAGTAGAAACTTCAGAACCTTGGTCTTTTCTGTTACTTGACTGTTGTGGGTGCCCAACGGTCTCGGCAAGTTATCACCGAATAAATATCCAGTTATCTTGAGGAATTTTTCAACAAAATATTCTCATACTTGTATCTTAAACTTTCCTTCTTTTTACACTTTAAGATATATTTTCTATAGATAATCAGTTGGAAAGGAAGCAGTTAAAGAAGCTACCCCTTTAACTTGTCACCACTCGCTATCCTTGTATTATAGCAGAGACTTGAAGGTGATCTTCTGAACTTTTCTTATGTGGCCTTATGTAAGCATTTTCCTTCTTTAGAATGCTTTAGAATATATGATACTTCTATAAACATTTGGCTGCTGAGAAATGTCTTACAGAACCTGAATAAATGAGGAAAACATTTGAAAGGTTTGAATAAAATGTAACTTGTCTGTTTTGTCAGGATTTAAGAACTGTTCAGCATCTCCTAATCTTAATCACTATGAACTAGAAGAATCTTTAGATCTGCAAGACTAGTTTTAGTGTAATCTAATCACACCCTCCTATTTTAACACTTAATATCATTCACCAAACTGGAGTTTTTATTGATGAACCTTTAGATTCAGTATTAATATATTAAAAATTTTAGAATATGTTTTAGTCAGCAGCACTGTAGTGAAAATTTAAAACTGTTGTAATTGTCCTTATTCATGCACAGCAGAATGTTCTTAAAAATGGTAAAAAAATTAAACTATATCTTTTATGTATTATTTCCTTAACTTGACATCCTCACTTCATCTGACAGCTTAAAAAATGCTTAGTAATGTGAAAATAAAGCTTTATTTTGGTTGAAGACTTCTAGAAAGACCAGTTTTCTATTGAACCTTGCTGTGTGAAACACACCATGTGGAGCACATGAAATGTTTCCTGGATATAAAAATGTATGCTGTCAGTCATTGTACTTTACAGAAGGATTCATTTTCTAAGCAGGAAATATAATAATGAAATGTAAAAAAGAAAAATCAGAGAAATTTGAGTTGGTCAGAAATGAAGGATATTGGACTATTGGTTACAGGAAGTCAGAGAAATAGTTTATTAAGTTACGGAACATAAAATATGAAGTAACAATACTGAAATGAATGTAGAATTTAAAATATAAAACATTTTATAATCGCATTAAATAAGAAAAACATCAGAAGATGTCACTTTAAAAGTAATTTCATTGTAAAAAAAATGCAAGTATCTTGTAATGCTGAACAGTGATTGATGACTCTGCAACAGAAAAATAAAAATACCAATAAATAAATATATATAATAGTAAGGTAAACGAATTTAAACATTTCAATCGGAACCTTGCCAGGCTTACCTAAGATTAAAATATGAAATTATGGTTTTGATGATGCTCAGAGAACCAACTGTGGAAACTAGAGACTAAAAATGTCTGATGTGGTTAGATATTTCGCTTCACCCATTGGTGTGTTGGCAGCTGATGGTGGAGTAAATAATGCAAAAAAGAAAACAAAAAAAAACTTGATGCCTTTTACTTTGCTTCTTGTTATCCTGACAGTGGCAGCTCATGTAATTGGTGTATTGAGGTATGAGGGACATTTTTGTGGCAACAGTTAGGTTCTGGGATTCTGTTAGGACTAATAGCATCTAAAGTATATCCTATCCATAATGCTTCATTTTCACTCTGATGGACAAAGACTCTTATCAGATAATAATGTTAAATTGGTTGAAATTGCATAATAGTGACTTCAGTCATCTTTCTTGCCTGTCATAATCACTGAATCTCATCGCATTTGCTGCTGTAAGCACATGCGAACATCTGTGTACATATTTGCAGACTATACTCTAGCACGAATGAGCCACAATCAAACAAAACGCATCCTGACGTCTTGTGGAATTTATGGCACGCCAAGCCAAACTACTATTGCTGTATAAAAGATTGTCCAACCTGATTTTAAGAGCGCCAATCAGTGTAACAGTGCGCGTGTGTGTGTGTGCCCAGTTAGTTACTATATTGTTAAATGTGTGCAAAAGTTATTGAGCTCTGGGATAAAGGAAACATAATCAAATATCATGATTTCTAAGCATCATTTTATAATAACTTTTATGTTGACGTATCATAATAAGCATAAGAGTAAAACCGTTAAAGGGATTTTCGTCCAACGCCCTGCAAGTTCCAAACATTTTATCATGGTTCCATTATATAGTTGTAAAGTTGTAGAGACAGTAATAAAAAAGGAAAGCCTGAATTTTACAGGTTTTTAGAAACCAATGAAAGTTTTTACTGCCGCCATAAATAAGTACAGAAATAACTTTGTATTACTTGTAGAAAATAAGAAAAATCTATTTGACACCGCTGTTGAAGAACGAGTTGACATAATAAGGATCACTTGACGACGCATATTGAGTAGTTTTAAAGTAACCTGCTGACTTTTAGTTACTGGACTGGAAGCATGAAGCACCGACATAAAACTATTAATAT